CGATAGCAAGTGTTTTTTGAAAATTTCATAAATTTTTTAAAATCTTTCTTTATTTCAAAAGTGTTGAAGGACTGTCAGAACACTCAGGGTATCCTTCTGATAAGAGCAACCTTGTTGTTTCGACTTTCGAAGAAAGTATGGAATACTTGTGGTCGGATTGGTTTTTGTTTTTCCAGACAATTTTCGACTTGTTAACTTGCAATTTTTGACATTTTTTTTTCTTCTTTCGAGAAGTTCTGTTCTCTTGAGCTCAATTTTAAAAATATAATTTTGGCCAAATATTTGATAATTAACGCGCGAAATATTTCGTGCTAATAACGCGTAGGCGGAGATTTATCCGTCTTAGAAATCGTTTTCATTTAAAATGAGGCATACAGTTTGTCTAGTAAGTATTTTCATAAATATGAAATGCATCGTTTTGCTCTTTAGAAAGCGTGTGGTTGATTTTTTCTTAGCTTTTTCTTGGAATTTTTATCCATTTTTTGAAGCCAACACCTACTCTACAGTGCAGTAGGCACATTCATGGACTCGCTCTGATACGAAAAGTCTTCTTTATTTTGTATTTCTACTTTTTTCTTGGATCACCAATAAGCAACGAAAGGAGTCGGATCGGGTATTGTTGTGTTATGACATTTAAAAAGCTTTGCAAACTGGCGTTTTTTCCGTTTTGGCGAAAACATCCCTCGTTTGGGTCGAATGTAACTAACATCGTTTTTAAATGCGTGCCCCAACCTTTAATTTCTGCAACATATTAACCTGATGGTAGTGTGACACACCTAATGTGAAAATACATGGCTCTTCACATCTCTCCCGGCCCGGCGCCAAATAAAAACGCCCCGCCACATTAGTACTTTGGTCTTTGAAATTTTTGCAAAATTCAAACGTTTTTCTTACAGTATTTCCGAAGTTTATTTCAGCTGTCAGATGCATAACATTTCCTAGATTTTATTGGTTGAACATTGCTTTTCTGTGGAACCTCTATAGGCTTAATTGAGAAAATCTGAACTACTCTAGGCTACAATTGCTGTAAATGACCCCTAGGGCTACTTAAAGGTTGAAAACGTAAACGTTTTCGTCAAAACGATTATTTTCATACGCTCCTCTGTATAAAAAGTTGTCGCCTTCGGTTTTTTGTTGCTTCGCTACATTACATTTTTCTGAACCGGTTATAAATAAAAATATGAAAAAATTCAAGTTATTTTAAATATTTCAGTATTTTGATTGATTCAATTTTTTTTTTCGATTGATTTCATTTTTTTCTCGTGTTTGCTTGCGCTTAAAGAATGGCTTCCGTTTTTTTTTTCTGTTTTCGATAAATTCTTGATTTGCATGTACGAAGCTCAGCTTGAACTGTGTCAAATATTTGGAATTTTTTTATTGAGATATAATTACTGCAAAATATCTCATTCAATAAGAGAGCGAATAAACATAGAGAGTGAAAAAGTAAGTTTCAGCATCATACTAATCACTCAATTTCACATATTTTAACAGGACTCTCAGCAAAAAGCAGGAGGAAAGGAGAAAGGAAAAAGCCCCAATATGGTATTTAAAACTTTTCCTCTCTCTTTTTTTTTTGAATTTTTCGATATAAAGTCAACCATATCATATGCTTTTTGCAGCAATTCTTTGACGATCCTGATGGCGTGCTGGAACTTCCACCAGCATTAGAAGTTAGTCAATGGAAGAGATTGCACGAACAGTTCCAGGATAGAATCCCAGTTGTAGTGGATGACCCCGGAGCCATGTCTTTTGACCTTCTAACTGCCAATGAGCACATACACCATTGCGAGGTAGGGTATTTGGTACCCAAAAATTATATTTCACCCCAAATTAAATTTTAAGGTGCCCGTAAAATGATCTACCATTCGATTAAATTCCCTTTAGCTGCACATCCGCATAGCTCAAATATGTATACTGCTAACATTTGTTTGCATTCAGGGGTCAGGTTTTGAGACCATACCATTTATAGTAAGCGGCGATGCCTCGTTTGTTTCAGACCATCAGATGGATCATAAGTCAGATTACAGCCCTGTGGAAACTGAACGGTACTTCTATGGCCTTTGTTCCGGAACTTGGATCCAGCAGTCAGACAGAGTTCATCAGCTGGAAACCATGGGAACACATTTACGCCATGTCCAAGCTGGGAAAAGGTTAGTACCTTATTTAGATTTTCATTAATTATAGCTTTGGTATTGACTAGCAGAAACTGTTTTGTATTTAAAAATCATTCCGATTTAAATTTTCAAAAAATTTATTCACAAAAAAAAACTGGAACGAAATGGCAACAGTTAATTAAGGAATACTACAAATGATATACTTGCAAATGATAAGCAGATAGCAGAGATAACTGAAATGTTTTGGAGTCAAATATGCCCCATTGATTGGAGTCAAATCAAGTTAGGTCAAATATCAATTTAGGTCCCCCTAATCTGCCCCAGTACAACAACTATGGCAAGTATGTAGTCCGACTGTTCTGGATGGGATGTTGGCGCAAGATTTATGTGGACGACAGTCTTCCCTTCGACCAGCACAACAATATCCTTCTTCCCACCACCACGAATACTTATGAGTTATGGCCCATGTTGCTGTCCAAAGCCATAATTAAAGTGCTATCCCTGGAGTAAGTATTGAAAGAGTGAATACCTAATTTTATTTATATGTATAGAGAGAAAATACTCTATCTATGTACACAAGCAAAGCTTGTGTGATAGAATGAGCTCTTTTTTTCAACCTAAGTATGAGTCTTCATTTTGAAAGCGTTCTTTCATTACAGTATATGCTTAAGATCAGTAACCAGCTATTAAGTACAGCAAATGTTTAGGATATTAACGCAGGCTATTACATTACAAATAACACTTTAGCTTCAAGGTAGCGTAGAGGTAGGGAAGGAGACCCCAACAAAAGAGAGTTTGAACCTGGGCAGGGTCGGATGTTTTATTGAACTTTTTCGTATAATAGTTAAAGTTCGTCTGCTCTATAAATTGAGGCATTTTAGTTGGTAAATTCCTTTTTTAGATATGACTGGTACTGCTAATGCGTCTTAATTGGCTCGCGTCACTTACCATTTATGTAGACTCATAATTGGCGTGTGTCACTTAAGAAATTATGTAGACTCAAAGTTTTATGCTTTCAGTTTTTCCCAGTAGCGTTATCGGTCATATTTTTGCTTGTTTTCGCCTCTGTTTTAATAATTATTTTTGGGTAATTGAATACGTTCGAAGCCAAACCTGAACTATAGTGATGCATTTTAAGGGTTATTATAAGGTTTCGTGGCTGAGTGGTTAGTGTGTGTGTCGCAGGATTAAATCTCATATGTAGCCAAATTTTTGCTAATTCAAGGCTTATTTATACTTTTTTATTAAACTTTTTAAAACTACTTTTTGTCGTGTTCTTGCTGTGTAAATTTTTGTTTTTACCCTTGCGATAGGCAAGGGTGTTGCAACCGGGTATTAGAATTTTTTCCCGTAGAGAACTCTTTCTCAAAATTTTGTACAGGAAAATATTATACGTGTTTCAATATCCTTCATAAAAATTGTGTTTAAAGAAGTATCCAGGGAATGCAGAGTAGACAAACATGCGTGAGACTACTAAACTTGTAGTTTGAATCCGGCCGGGACCTGTTTTTTGCGGCCGGGACTACCGGTGCGGTATAATTTCCGTTTTTTTTACTCGGCTTTTAAGTTTTTTGATTCATACCTACTCGGCTTAATTACCTCATCTTGCAAAACTGTGTTGCAAATTGTGTTGTGTGAAGTTTTGTTCTACCTCAATTTTTTAGGATTTACTTAGTCTCATTTTGGTACATTTTGCTAAATCATTTATCATTTTTGAACCCTCAATTAATTCCAATGCCTTTTTACAACTGGTATAGTGGTGAAGCACTATACTAATATCTAATATCTGTGGTTCGATTCGCGGCCGGACATTGTTTTTTCTATATTGATCCTCTTGAATAATATATTTTAAGTTTTACCGATGATTTTTCGGCTTCCTTGTTTTCAGTTAAAGCTTTGTCGACTGTGTTGTCGAATGATAATAACATTTATTTGAGAACATGCTACATAGTGGCGTATAGAGGAACACTGCAAGCATCTTCGGATTAATAACCCTTGCATTAAGCAAGGGTATTGCAACCGAATACTAGAAATTTCTCAGCTAAAAATACCTGTCTACTCGTAAAGCCAAATTTTAAACAAGTTAGCACGTTAAATATCTGTTCTATTTAAATTTTTCAGACATAAGTTCTGGATATACCAACTCTGATTTTCTTATTTTTTACACCGTTTTCTTTCACTTATAGGTTTTTTATTACTTACGTTATGTCGACTTATTCACTGCATACTGCCCAGTTTTAAGCGCAAAATTATACTCTCTGAAAAAAAATTTCATTGTAAACTAGATTTGCATTCAAAAAATTTTATAGCTTCTAAAAACGTTTATTTTCATTTCATATTTTCCTTTTTCCGGCTCAACGAGCAACTCCTAGTATTGTCGTTTTAGTAACCGCTTCGTAAATTTACTTGCAATGCTAAATTAGCGCTGACAGTCATCTTTTTCGGCAGGATTTTCTCTAAATGAACTTCCCTATTTACTGATGATAAAGGCGAAAAAAGACTCAATATTCGGAGACCGTTTTAGATCTAAGTTTTGTCAAATAAAATGCAACATATATTTTCATCCGTTAAACGGTAACTTTCCATCAGATAAGTTTCTACTTTGATATTAATGAGGAAATGTAATCGAATCAGTTAAAGCATAAAGCTTAGCATGTTTTACCAATTCGCTGTATAGGAATTAAATGTCGAAAAACTTTTCGCTTTTAGTTTTCTAATTTTTGAGAGTAAAATTTTTCAATCCATTTTTCAGTTGCTTATGTGTGTGTGTTGTGTTTCAGCTACAGTGCGGGTAACATAGACTGTGAGTTTGGGGAGCAGAGCGTGATGCAATGTCTCACTGGGTGGCTGCCGGAACCAGTCCCCGTCATGTGAGTACTGCTCTTCCCTTGCGCTTGTCAGCAGAGGCTCCAAATTTCATTGTAACTTTCCTAATGTTTGTTCACAACAGTTCTAAAAGTTCCTATGCTTTTCAATGACAACGCTTTGGAGACTATCATTAATAATGAAACATTTTGTAGTGATTAATATATGATCATCAAATGTAATAATTCATGAATTAATGCGTAATAATGCTAGTTATAGCATAGTTCGAGTTTACATTTACAAATAAACGGGCTTAAATAAGTAACAAATTGTGAGTGAATGTTGTCGAAAAAATAGCACTTTTTCAGGTCTTCTTATATGGATAAGATCTGGGACCTCTTGAAGACATCCTGTCCTGAATTCACATTGCCAGACCCGAATGATCCGAAGCCAGGTGGAGACCTCTCTAACCAGTCCAGCGACATTCCAGATGGACTGAAGAAAGACAGCGAGGTACCATTAGCAACTACCAAGGAAGCAGGAGCGTCAAAGGATACCAAGAAAGGTGCTACATTTTTCTAGTTATAATAAGTTACTAAAGATGTGATGCGAAATTTTTTTTTTTGTTTCAGGCGGAAAAGATGGCAAGAAAGACAGAGGTATGTCGGTCCATTACCAGCTAAAATATGCGCTTTAGACTAACACCTTTATGCATTTGATTTGATGTAACTTTTTTCTTTTTCAAACGCGTCTGTTTACCGATCTTGACTGCCAAACAAACGTCTTTTTTGTATATCAGTAAGAACAACCTCATAGAACCACACACTTCAAGCTTAGTTCTTTAAAACATTTTTGTTGTTATGGCAAGTATCTATCCACTTCTATGAATCAATTGACTTACTATTTGCCAATTTTGGTCCTGCAGGCGGCATGACTACCCCCCTGCACGATGGACACGGAGGGGGTAAAGGCCACAAGGGAGGCATAGGCAAACAGGCCTCCCAAGTGTCCATAGCCGCCTCCGAGAACCGAATGATGTTCGGTCAGTCTTCCAGCCTCCTTAGACTAAATTAGAATAGCATGAACATGTAGAGTTCACTAGTAGATATTACGGACATATAACTTTAAAAAGCACAGATTAATCCAAAAAATTGTCGAATATTCCGAATTTAAAAATCTATTATAAAATTTTAGAATTGAGTGTTGCTATTAAATTCTAGTGCATGATTTCAATGTCAGCCAAAATTTTGCAAGCATCCATTATTTTGTCATTGTCATTTGATATTAGATGTTAGTTGAGTTGCTTTTTTCAAGACTAATAACCAGGTTGACACACTTATATACCTATTTCGACCCTTTATTTACTTAAATTTTATTTTAAAAAACATAAATTCTGCCTTTGAAGAGTTCACTTAGACTAAAGATTTTATCAAAAGCAGCGATTCCTTAACGGCTCATTTGACAGTACCTGATAATCCAACCATCTTGTTTTTCAAGGCCTTGGTAACAGATCTACAACCCCATTCGATTCAGGTAAACGATCGGAAAAGAACTGAGCTCGGTTGTATATTTTGTGTGTTGTGAACCTTTTACATGTATAATCACCTTAATCTATATTGCATGTACTTGGTTGTCAAAATTCCCCACTGCGTTTTTTTTTTCAAATGATTGCTGGTTTTCTTTTACCAAAAGGAGAAAAAAAATTGTTCCCACGTGTCTTACTTTTCTTTCCCTACTTCTGCATGTGGTTTAACAAAACTTAAAAACATAGTTGACTCAAAATTTAATTTCTAGCTGAGCCAGTGCGAGTTGAGAAGCCTCAAACTGTTGTGTTTGCGACATACTACAACCCTCCTAGACTTCCAAGGACCTACTCGAAGTACAAGGACACTGTGCGTATATTTAATATAACTAAGAAGTTATAAGGGACGGAGCGATTCCTCCCGCACCTGAAAAGCGTTAGAGGTGAAGCGGGTAATTTTAAGAGTGCTTGGACGGTTCTTAAAACAAACTTCTTGAGCTTTAAATTTTTGTTACGTCAATCTTTACTATTCAATTAACAAAACGACTGGAGCTATTCTTAGCTAATAATAATTAAAATGTAATTATTTTTTTTGGTCGCTTTTTGTTTTAATTTTTTCTAAAACTTTTCTAACAATTTATTATTGGCACTTTGATTTTTCATTTCCTTTTTATGTTTAATTCTAATTATTCTGTTAAAAAGAAGACAATTTACGCTCGCAAATAACAAAATAGCAACTGGCGATTATTGAAGCGCAAGAGTTTAATTGTCTTTATTTCAGTTTTAGAACAAGATTTTAAATTTTGATTTGTCCAAAAAAAAAGCTTTTGATCCATTTTTAAAATCTGTTTTTTTTTTAATCAAAAAAGTGTCACCAATGTTTCGCATTAGAAGGAGTTTCAAATTGATTACCCTTGCGATTCGCTTAACAACCTGTTTAACAGAATACTTGAATGAAAATTGAGCATACTATCAATTTTCAATTCAATTCTGAGCGTTGAATCGTGTGAATCAAATCACTTGCATCATTTGGTCAACCTGAATATATTTTGAGCATGTCTGCAGTTTAAATACACTTTTCGTTTAAAAGTTGTTTTAATGTTGTTGTGAGTTTACCAACTCCGATTTGGTCTATTTCAGTTTTTATTTCCACTTTCTTACACTTGCGAAGCTTTAGTATGAACCTTCTTTTTTTCCAACCTAAGTCGCATATATTGGTACGCCACTTTTATGGCGCGGCGCCCCAAAATTGATGGTGCACCTTTACAGCTTTTTGTAAGCATGTGCTTTGACATTCGAATAGTAATAAATTAACACAGTTAATGCGTTTTTAATTCATCAAATGAACCGAAAAAAGCTATTTGTTTCAAACAACGTCACAATATTTCAAACTCAATTTTAGAAATTTTGTAACTCATTATGTCTTGCAATTTTTTAAATGCATAATTTCTACATAATGTGGTATTATGTTTTGCGATTTGTTACACGCAAAATTATTGTCGATGTCTTCAGTTTGTTATATTCCAAATTATTATTTGCAAAATTGAGTCTGTTTGTATTTGGTGCTGAATTGCATTGCCAACTTGTTAGCATATGTAGCTGCTTTATTCGTGACTAGTGTTTGTCATTTGTTAAGCTTGAGTGGCTGGGAGGATAATGGGTGAGACTTTTGATTTCAGTAGGTCGCAGATTCGAATCCTACACGTAGCCGAGCTTTTGCTAATTCGAGGCTTATTTCTACTTTTCTTATTTAACTCGATAGAGCCGATTTTTCGTCGTGTTCTCGCAAGTGTTTGCGAAGCGCAGCTTTGCCTCTGTGTAAAACTTTTTTCTACTTTATATGTTGTGAAAGGTTTTGGCTGCTAATATATCTACTTGGATGATTCATATTGCGTATGTATGTGTAAGTGTATGTATGTGTGTGTGCGTGTGTGTGGGTGGTTGTGTGTGTGATGTGTGGTGTGTGTATGTTAGCTCAATTTTTCTTATGACCTAACTGCGGCCCAACTGGCGTCTGCTCGAGTATTGTCAGCTTTTTTTGCTGCTTAAAATTTTCATGCACATTGATCTTCGGCAGTTTCTTAATTGGCACATTCCACACAAAATTTACTCTTGCAAATCAAGACGAACTTATAAAAGGAGTCCACTTTGCGGCATTTGTCTCCTTTTACTCTACTAGCTTGCCATGGTTTTTTGTGCTGTAAACAGGTGGGGTGGAGTTGAGCCTCGCTTGTGAGTTTTTTTCGTTTTTCTTTTGATTGCAAATTTTGAAAAATGGTAATAAAAATTGATTTTTTTTCTTTCGATTTTCTTGAGTTCATTCAAACTGCGGTTTAAGCCAAATATTCATCAAAAATTGTGCTCGGTCAAGGAACGGTTATTAGTATCAGGGCTTGGTGATAGTTTAAAAAAGATGGTGTTTCATTGTGATTTTGAATTTCACTGCAATGAGAAAAAAAACTTATTCAGTTGAGACAAATAGTTTAAAAAGATTTATTAAGTTTTTTTTCAGTCTAACGTTTTTTTTAGGTCTAATACAATTTTACCCAATGCTTCAATTTATAGCTTCAATTTTAGCTGCATTTTTAGCTTCAATTTTTTTCAAATAGTTCAAGTGTATTACATATTTGTATATTACAATATTTTTTTGTTCAACTGTTCTTTATACATTTTTTCAGCTGTTTTTTTTCTGTAAACTTGTTGTTTTTATCTGATCGGAATTTCTGTCTTTGGAAAGCAACACTGGCTATTGTTTTCTTCTGCATATTTTAGTGAAAACAAATGATTTTTAATGTCCAGTTTCTGAGTTTTGTTTTTGCCGCCTTGCTTAACTCATTTTTTCCGGACGTTTTTTTAATGAACCAATCGTTATTTATTGTGAGTTATTTTGAAAGTTTTTGAGAAAATTCAGCCTTTTCCATTCAGAATCGGAGATTTTTTTGGGCCCGTATATTTTCCTGTGCTAATTTGTTTTGGTTTTTGTACAAAAAATATACGATTTTCGTAATTATTTTCTTAAATTGAAAAAAAAATCAGAAAATAGTGTTTTGTAGAATTTTTCATTATTATGTACGATTCATAAAAGGCTTCATCAATTTTTTGAGCATTTTTAGGGAGTGCATGCAAGTTCAAAACCTCAGCTGGAGTAAGTCTAAATTCGGTGCTTGTGATGTTTTAAAATTGTTTTTGTGATGATGAAAAAATCGCGATATTGAATTTTTCTTTTTTCTTGACTTTCAGCTTTCTGAATCGCAATCGGCGCAAAACTTTGCTTCGCCTCTGTTTCTAATTTGTTATTTCTGATAGTCCTCTTGAGATTCGCTCTTTTTTATTCATTGTTCACTACAGAAATATTTATATGTAAAACATTTTAGGCGTTCAAAAATTTGTTGGGTTTATAATCATTTATTGTTTATAGCTATTCTTATTAAATTTTTGTTGCTTAAATGGAAAGGATAGGGAAAGTATGCTTTTTGTGTCCAAATCATCTGTTTTTTTTCAGTCTGATACCGCTGAAACTCTGCGCACAGTGGGTCTATCTCACTCTCTGCCTCACCCCCTGCTGGTAACTAGAACCAGGAGCTGTCCCCTGGTCGCCCCACCTATTCCTCCTCCGGAACCTGCCTGGAAACTGATCAGGCAACCACGCAAGAAGAACTTCCAAAATGTGTCAGATCAGCCACCAGGTTCGCTTCGATTGTTCTCGAAAATACTGACTAATTCAATCGAATGTAATAATTTTTGTACCATTTAAATAATATTTGTGTTGTGCATTATCTGATTGCGTTAAATTATGTCGTTTTCTATTTTGAGGTATCAAAATTATTTAAAAATTAATCTTATGAAACAGCTTAATACACATATTCATAAAGCTTCACTGGATATTACACTTAATTTAATTTTTATCCAATTCTTATGTTAGGTAGTTGCCGCTACAGTGTTTACTCTTTTAGAAGAAGAGAAACTGAGGCCAGAACAATGGGTGGAAATATCCTCTCCCTACCTGAACTACAAGTTATCGCCGACAACGTTGCCGCGAGAAGTCACGTGAGTCTCATCCATGTTTTGATGTCGCCGTTTCGGTCAATTATCAAAAAATAAGAGGAAATTCTTACCAAAAAATATATATCTAAAATTATCAAACTTTTAGGAGCTTCAGATGAATGATAACTCAAAATTTTCAATAGAATTTTTAAAAAAAACGATTGAAAATGCTCAATTGTAAAAAAAATCTTGAAATTCAAAGAGCTTTGGCATCAAAAATATAAATTTCTGTCATTTTTGGTTTCTTGAGTTTATCAACACTTTCTAACTACCTCTCGGATATATTTCTTGATCGTTTCAGTGGTCGGCGAAGCTCCAGTAGAAGTCGTGATGGCAGTCGTCCGTCGACCGCACCTCCAGTGCAAGAAGTAGATGAGAACCCACCGCCGCCCAAAGCTGAGCACCCGAGTTCGAGCCCCGATGGGGCCCCTGGCGTAAACAACATACAGCCCGTGCCACCAAATCAGCCGAAGCCACAGTCCAAAGGAGCTTCTTCGGTCGCTGAGCAGGCCAGTGTGGGTGAGAGGAGTGCTTTGGGTTCTAAAGAGTCTCAGAACAAGGCGACTCCTGCGCCAACCGAAGTAAGTTAACTTTAAGTTGTTGACGTTAACTTTTAATTACTTAACGTTTTTCATAACAACCTGGACATGCAAAAAATCAATTGAGACAGGCCCTGAAAATGCTGTTTATTTTGTCCCAACAATCATAAACATTTTTCAAATTGTGAATTTTTATCATGCTCAGATTATATTGAAATGAATTTAATCTAAGCTTTTTGTGTTTAGAAACGAACTAGCCACGTCAGTGCAGTTTCTTCTGGAGCTAATCAATCAAAAAAAGGAGTCGGTAAGAACTCCAATTGAACTAGCCAGTTATTCGCTGAAGTATATGCAAATTATGATTATGATCCTGTTTGTATTTATGCACTTACAAACAACAAAGCTCATGATTGCTCGTTTTTAAGGAGAAGGTGCTGGGTTGGATTCGAACGCTGTACCAGGTGACTTGAAACAAGAGACCGTGACCGTGGATGGTAAAATTGTACCCACGATAGAGGAGAAAAAGACTGACTCATGGGTGCATTGGGAGGATTTCAAAAAAGCTTTCAAGTGAGGTTTTATCACTTCTCGTGAGAAGTTTTTTGCAGTCAAATTAGAAAATTGTCTGAAATACTTTAGCTAATTATTAGCCGAGTTTTAGCTAATGATGCGGCTTACTTAATTCTATTATGTTCAAGTTCAAGGTCGTTCAAAGAGTTCAAATTATCGGATCTTCTGGAATTATCATGCCCATTTATTACATTTCAGGAGTGTCATACTGTATCACAAACCACAGAGTTACCCCTACAGAGAAACATCTTCCGATTTCAAGGTCAGTACTTCAAAATTATCTGAGGTAGCCAGATAGTGTTAAATTGTCTGTTGAGTAAAAGGATGTTTCAAAATACCATACTGAAGATTGGATATCGGAGTGAGTAACTGAAACTTAATCGAGTAATAAATCGTAATTTTTTGGTTAGCAGTAAAAGGAGAACTAATTCATGAGCAAAAGTTTGATTTGAAATAATCACAATTTGTTTTAATTTGGTAGCATTGTAACCTAAGTATCTTGAGACTCAGCGTCGACAGTTGCCCCTCGTTACAAAACTCCTTTAACATCGGCGGGGGATCCCGATGTGCTAGTCCGTCAATGGTCAAAAGTGACCATCAAATACATTCAAGCTCAAATAGAAGGAAGAGGCTTAAGCTGGTGCCTAAGTTAGCTTTGTCTAAACTGGTGGCTCCAGTTGAGTCGAAGCTATTCAGTCCTTCGAATAGCGCATCAGCGACCTCGCTGTTTCTCAGTTTGAAGGTCTATTTACGCCAAACTGACCACTAATTAGAATACAAATGTTTAACTTTGAAAATTGTGAAAAAAACTGACATATAAGTTTTAAAAAAGTTTTTTTTTGTTGCTAATTCGAACTGTAATTTATGTTTTAATCAACCGTACCTCCAAATAATCAGTTTAAAATCCAGGTTATTTTTCACGATGTAAAGTTCTGAAAGAAACAGGTTATTCGGTATTTTTCAAGGTCCACAGACTCTTTAATCGACATGGATCGATCGTGCAATCAACTGCAACTACGTTTGTATGTGTATCGATATTTAATTTTCCTCGACCTTTGCATAATATTGCACATAAATCCAAATTGCTCATTTCTCAGCATCCAAAGCGGCTCAATTTGCATAATTATTGCATATTTAGTTCAGTTATCGCACTGCGCGTTCATGTAAACTAAAAATGCGGGCTTAAGAAATCAATATTTTTTTTCAAATCATATATGACCTTATCGACAATCTTATAAAAGAGCGGTTAAATTTTCAATTATCTATATGCCCAATCCTTTAAGGGAAATTTATTTGAAAATTGAAAGATCACGGATTGATAAAGGTAGAAAAAAATTAGAGTACATCGCATTTTAAGAGCATTTCCATCGATTAAGTGCCCAGATCAATGAACCGAATTACCAAACACGTGTTAGAATGACCAGGTAGTGTCAACAGAACCCTTTTCTTAGTTTTTGGAATGAAAGCCAGGAAAAAATTGTTGTAATGACTTGTTTTGTTGAAATTTTTAAACGAATCAAAGGATCCTTTAAAAAAGCGTTTTCCTTTCAATGAGTTAAGTTTTTTTTTTTAAATTTCAAGTGGTCATCAATGGCTGCAATGCTTTCTTGGTATCAACTTTCGATAATCGCCTACAAGTCAACGGTTGTAACCAATTTTTTTCCCCAAAGCTTGCAGCTACTTTTGTATCTGTGCCGACAGCGATTTTGCTCAATCCCCATTTTTGCTGAATCCCCAGCTGTTCCTCATTTTGAGTTGAAACAAAAAATGAGTTTTAAAAATTAAGGAATCAAAAAATTAGTTTAAAATGTGTTTAAATGGATGCCTGGGAGTTATGAAGATGATAACGAAAATGAGGATATGGGGATTTCTGTTAATAGTTTCAGCTCGATTATGTGTGCTTCCAATACACTCACAGATTCACCTTGTACTGATGCTTAAACTTCAAAGTTTTGTTATATTTTTCGTCAAGAATAGGCGTGACTGTCTGTTCTGCGCACATTTATGTCTAAATGTTTCTATGTGAACTATAAATGTTTGAAATATCATTTTGAAAGTAAAGTGGCCTTTTTTATTTGTAGCATATGATGGGGCGGAGAACTTCACTTGGAGGCCAAAGTCTGGCCTCTAATCAAAGTTTAACCGTGCCCTCTTTTAACCTAATGCCACCTCATGTGAGTAAGGTGTGACGGGCGAATATTGGTGTAAGGATTGGTGTATTCTGCATAGAAATCTGGTCCAAACGGTTTTACTTTTAGTGTTCTGCGTTAGTCTGAATTGAATGCTAACTAGTTTTTATTCGCTTTTTCCTTTTTTCTGAAGCCAATTTGAAAACTTTAGCGATAAGAGTCGAAATGCGGTGCTTATTTTTTGTTGCTTAAGTTTTCTTTGCACGATTTTTTTTAAGTTTTATTCAATTCTGCATTTATTTGTTTTGGGTTATACGCAAAAAGCATGTATTAGTATGTAGATGTATCTATAAGCGTTTATTTTCCCTGTTATTTGTATTTTCAATAGCAAATTGTGCTAATCTATGGTTTTTATTAGACGGGAGGTGGAGGGGGAGGAGCTTTCGCCCAGTCAGCTGTGGGCGGGAAGAAGGCTGCGGGTGGGGCATCAGCTGGAGGCCAGAGCAAGCTAGGAGGGGCTCAATCTCCGGCCATGAGTGTAAGTTTTTTTTTCATTGTAAGGTCTTTTTTGAAGCTATTTGTGACTGTTTCTTTATTATTTCAAATTGAATGTGGAACCTGATCTAAACTACATTTTATGATTGGATAAATTAGATATTTTACCAATGTAAAGTATTTAATATTAACCAATCATGATCCATCTAACTAACAACCCACTTATTTGTAAGTGCTGAAGTTACTTGTAATTTCAGCACCAGAGAGATTTGAATTTAACTTAGAAATTAGTTGGACTCTCCCGAGCACTTCAGCAGCCGCAATAAACCAGTATACCCTAGATCTATTGAGCCTAGCAGAGACTAGTTAAACAACCTGAGACTAGATAGTATAAGAGTAAGATTAGGATCGGTATTAGACTAAGAAGTTGCACGAATCTATCCGGCCGAAAATAAGATAGCGTGACGAGCAGACGGTGTACCCTATCCGAAATTACTCTATGAGTTATACACTCCAGTCCTAACTCATCTGGTGCGACCATAAGTCTCGAACAAGACCTTAATAGCTTAGAATTAACCAAAATAGATTAGAAATTAGACAAAAACATTTACAAAATGTTATACGACAATAATTTAATTGAAATGTCTCTACGACTCAATAGATCAGAGCCAATATTCCGAACCATAACAGAACTACCCGGAATTGGAAGAAGACCTCGAACCAGAGACGACATACAACAAAGTAGAAACTTGCCATATAGCTATATGATAGTTAAGCAAAAACCAGAACAAACTTTTATATTTAGAATACTACTGGCAATGAATTTAGATTTTCATTTGCAAACATAAAACCTTGAAGTTAATCTTCAAAATCATTTCAGGCGCTAAACAAAATTGTTAATATACAATAACGATTGATAAAAAGATCTAAGATCGTTTTCCTAAATTCTGCAGTAATATACAAAACATGTTTGAAAAATATTTATTGAAAAATAAAAAATAAAAATTAGTAGCATGACAATAAATGGTTAGTAATAATAAATCATCCTGTTGTTCCAGCTTCATCACCTAAACATAACAGCATTCATAAGCTCACTAATATCATAAAAACACTAAATCTTTTCCTTACACAAATTTAAATCATTTTAAACTTAAATTCACTTAATTTTAAAACCAGATCATCAAGGCTTATCCTTGGATCTTAAATCATTTTCTACTTAATTAAATTTCAAATTTGATCATCAAGGCTTATCCTTGGATCAAAACAGAACAACTTTGTTCTCCCCCACCCACTTAATTAGTGTCTAACGACCTCAAACGTCGATTCACTACCCAACCCTTTCTAAAGACCTAAGACTAATAGAAATTTTTAAACAAAACTAATCATTCAAATTAGGATAAACAGTGAAGAACTTCGGTTATTCATCCTTCACTTAACTCCCACCTCTTACCAGACCCAGGATAAATCTTAGACTTAGTAAGTTTAAAATAGTATCTAACGAACTACTCGCGTTCTAATTATACCTGAACCTTGTGGATCGATTTACTATTCTCCAACCCTTGAACACAATCACTACCCCTAAGTAAGATTAAGTAAGTTAACACCTTAGCTTATACTAGCCACGAGAAAGTAAAAAATCATTCTTCGGAATCGATATACTTTTCTCTCCAACCCTGAACAAATAGACCCAGGTTAAGCTAACCAAAAAATCGTAAGAACTAACAGTTTAGGAAAATAGAAATCATTTAACAACCTTTCGCATCCGTCATCCTAAACCTTATGTCATTTAAAAACCTAGGAAATAAACAAACAATCGTTTTACACAATTGTGAAATAGATAACAAAAAATACGACCTTGTAATCACACCTCATACACAAACAGTTGGATACATTCGAACAAAACGACAAACACTAAAAAGAAAAATAATAACGAAACAAAGACAAATAACACGAAAAAGATTTTCAAAAAATCGAAACGCATTTTCAGAATCAGAAACCAACAGTTTAGACGAACTTTACAAACTAAAAGAATCAATAGATAAAAATTGCCCACTTCACGATCAATTATATTTCTCTGACTCAGAAACAACTTCAAATTCATCAAAAAGAGGAAAAAGAAGAATAAAAAAGCAGTATAAACACAAACCAGTACATTTATACAATTGGAATCAACCAATTCGACACATTAATAATTACATATTAACAGTCATCGAACGAAAAAATGAGCTCAACGCACACCCCAGGTGAAGAAAGTCCAGATGATGATGAAATCTTTCCTTTTATAGTAGATGCAACCACTGATAGAGGACAGCATATATTTTGCAAAAATTTACTATTAAATTTATTTGAACCCGGAATCAGTCCATGTAAAACAGAGTTCCCAGATGTAAAAATCAAAAGACAAATCATAGACCACTACTTAAAAGATATATGCAACATAACACAACAGTATGGAATCTACTCCATAGAATTCACCTCACCAAACCATAATCATAGAAAATATACAATTCAAACAGACGATCTTGATTTAGAATTTTCAAAAGTTTTTTCAGAATATATAAAAAGCATCCAATATCATAACTCACAAAGAGCAAACTCCATATTCACCAATGAAGTTTTCGCAATAATATATAGTTATATTTCGATATTAGAAAACGAAATCCCAATAACAAATGTCTCACCGACAGAAACATCTAAACATTTAAGAGTACGACATGAAATCACACTACTCTCTAGTTATTTAAACATCATTAAAGAAAATTTCACGAAAGACGACGTTTCACAACATACAAAACACGATCTACAAAAAATTTTGGCATGGTTCATAATAGATTATTTTACACACAATATTGATTTAATTGCACAAGCAAGAAAAAATTTTAGACCCCAAAACTCGAACGATGATACCGTTATCACAGAACAATCAGATTATGTTTGGGACCCCGAATGGTCTCATCCCGCATTTATAAACTTCCCACAATCAATCTCAAGTCAAGCAATAAGTACAATATCTTACATAAGAGATTATGTAAGAGTAATACCCTTAACAATTGATGCAACACCATTAAACTATAATACATTTTTGCCCGATACACAAAATAATAGTTTAAACTCTACAGTCATACACAACGAAAACCTCAATGGAACTAGGAATCTTACTCAACAAGATATCCAGACACCATCACACTTCATAAATGAAGAAATTGTACACACAACAACCACACAACAAAGTATTTCACCAATACGCCCAAATTTAACAACACCAAGAAATACAAATCCTTCACAAACACAGGTAACCTTACAATCAACCGTTAAACCTTCGGTTGCCCCTAAATATTCACATATGGATTACCAAACATACAGACCCATGACAATACCATCAAAAACACGCAAAACATTCACTAGAAACAACTTTGCAGACCATAATTATAATTATACACATCCATCAAAAACATATAATCAACCACAAAGAAATTTTAACCAATATACAAGATCTCGAAATTGGGATAACCCAATGACCCAACCTAATTCAATAAATTTCCAAACAAATCCTCCACAGGATCACAGTGAAAATTACCCATTTTTTCAACAAAATAAAAATAAAAAACAGACATCTTATCAAATGGATTATTTATCCTCAGATGATGATTTCTTACAACCAGATATATTTGCACCAAATACTCAAGAATATCGTAGACAAGGAATACAGAAAACACGTACAAATCATAGAAATTTTTCTCCACAACCAATAGATGCACAACATCAACAACCAATTCAACAACAAAATCTAATTAATACACAATCTTTTCAACCAATTCAACAGCAAAATCCAATGACTGCACACTCGTATCAACCATCACAAATGCAAAATGAAATACCACTCCCATATTATCTCCAACAACATGAAATAACAAGAAACCAACTTTCAAATTTTTCTCAAATGCCAAATGCAGCAGAATCATTACAGATGACAATGAATCCATACCTTATGGGTGGATCATCAATAACATCAAACAAACATTTAATGGTTTTCACAGGAACAGACCCTGAATACTCTGTAGAAGATTATTTAAATGCAGTAACAGCAAACCTGATTTTAAATATTGGACCTGAACCAATTAATACGCCACTACATCAAAACTGGATACATCGACGCACAGCATTAATACAAACAACCTTAGATGGCGCAGCCCAAAAATGGTTTTCAGTACTACCTCTAGAATTAAAATCAAACTGGAAAAGGTTTACGCAGGAATTTTCAAAAATGTTTGACTCCGAAAGAAACAAACAACAACAAAGAGTTTTATGTAATGAAATTCGCAGATTACCAAACGAAACCATCAAGCAAATAGCAGTACGAATCGAAACACTAGTTCGAAAAGCATATTCACTAAATACACACGACTATAAAAACACAAAGATGACAGAAATCTTAATGATGACCTTAACACCACAATTAAGGAAAATAGCAATAAAAAAGAGAGCATCCCATCCTTCTTCAATTCGAGAACCCGATTTAGATTTTCGAAAACTAGTAGACAAATTAGAAAAAGCAGAAATCACGATGAAACTAGAAGAAACGGAAAATCTGAAATTACAATACGTTAACAGAATTGAAACGACTCCCACTAATATTAATAATATACAGGAATCAGAGACAGACCTCGTTGAAAAAATCACTGAAATACTCAATATTTACGAAAAGAACCCAAACTTTAAAGGCAAACCATCTTTCAAAAAATGGTGTAATTATTGCCGACGATACGGACATAGTATTTCCGAATGTAGACAAAAACAGCAAGACAATCAAAATAAACCTCAAAAATATAAAGAACCAAATAAATCATTCTATCAATACATGAAAAAAGATCAAAATCTACCAAACAAAACAGTCTACAGCAACAACAGTTCAGGAAAACCACTCCCGAACAATACAAATTATACAAGAAATCAATCACCATATAACTCAAGTTATAGAGGAAGATCGCCAGAACGAAGAAACACGCATAATTCATCACAAAATCACTACAATAGACCAAATAG